GGTGGGGTGCTAACTTCCCATCATTATTTTGTTTAATTAATTAAAAAATAATGAAGGGTCTACAAAATTTTTTAATTGTATTACAATGATGTACAAAGGTCCTACTATTGATCTAAATAAAAAAACTAATGAATTTTCAATTATGTGGTGCCAACTACCAGTCACCGAGTCCGCCATGCACTGCCCAAAACTCACCGGAGAATGTGTGCCGCCATATTCAACATGGCGATGAGCATAAACTATGATCACGTGATCAATGGGACTACGCCATGACAGTTTTCACGGGTGAATCTTTTTTTTATTGGGAAAAAAGGAAAGGATCCATATATTTCTAAAAAGGTTTTTTGGTAATTCAATTATATTAACAGATTTATTAATAGCTGTATTATGTGATTAGATCTCCAGTAAACTCACTTTTTCCTTGTGGATGATATCATCAATTCCTTATTGTGATGACATTATTGTGATGTAATAATTCCAAAAATCAGGGATTCTCGAAACAGATGATGGATTTTTATTATCGAGTACAGCTGCATGAGAAAATTTATCGTTCTTTGTTATTTATTGCAGAACTAGATGGATGAAGGTAATTGCAAAAAAATGAGAGGACGAACTCGAGGAAGAGGTCGTGGCCGAACTAGGGCTAAAGTCAGAGGTCGTGCAAGAAAAACTGTCAAGGTAGTGTTATTTAAGGTATTATTGAGACTGACTTTATCCTTTATTTTAGTGGATCTGAAGTAGGCCAGAACAGACAGCACAGTTTACTTACCGCACCGTCTTTGAAAAATGATAACAGTCATCACAATTTACTTAACTACAATAACAATTCATAATTTGTATACCCAAAAAAACAATATAGAGCCAAGCACATTCGATATTTTTTAATAGTTCTATGTTTAGATATTCTGAGCAATGGCGTAAAATAGTCACAGCAAAAAAATTCATAAATTATTGTTGTCGATGATTCTTCAACTATTCTCTTCTAGTTCTTGAAGTGGTTAACCTTCTTTCCTATAATAACTCGAAACTAGGTTATATCCGATAATATTCAAATTTATCATTATCAATAATAGTTCATAAATGGAATTAGTGTCAATTCTCTTGAAATATTATTCAATAATAGAAAATAGAATCGTTGATTAGTTTTACTGCACATTAAGTAACTTTCCACGATTTGTTAACCCATTTTACTTTTAAGCTCCAATAGTACTGTAATGTTTCATGGCTTGGACCATTATCGTCAGAAGCCCACACGTCTTAATTGTAAAAATTGAATAACTGATGTGAATCGAAATATCAACCATTCTAATATCAGCATTTTTTTGTTAACAGATAATTGAAAGTGATGAGGAAGATAATGTTGAACATCGAGACGAGAACCAGATTGATAATACTGATAACACCTGTAGTAGGAAAGATGATTCTGAAAATGTACAACATCAGGTTATTTCTGACCATCAATTCGATTTAGAGGCTGATATTTCTCAATTAGAAGCTCCCACCTTTACGACCATTAATCGGGGACCCCCAGAACCGATGTTGAGACTCCGGTGGGACCATCGGGTCAATCTTATTGGTGAAAAAGTTCTCAACCCAATGATTCACTGCTGCGACAAGTGCCTCAAACCTATTCTCATTTACGGACGCATGGTATGTTAAATATATTATTTTATCTCTTAAACGCGAATCGGTTCATTCATTTAGTTATAATTTTTGTTTACATCTGTAGAAAGAATGTCGGTAATATATAATTGGCACTATACTGTTGAAATGTTTTATAGAAGCATGTGAACCGATGCGACAATGTATTAATTTCTCTGCTACCATGCCACACATGATTGATGTCTGATGTCTAAATCTGTGTCTATCGAAGTGCAGATCGATTTTTGTACAGAAACTATCAGAAACTGAATATGACTGAATATTTAGTCCATATGACCCAAAACGTGATTTTTCATGGCCTTAAATCTAGTTTAGACAATTGCTATAAGACACGGCACGGGTTATAAATTTAGATCCCCTTTTTAATAAATGAAGATTTAACATTCCAACTCAAAAGGAGAAAGTTATTGTAATAACTTTTCTTCGTATTTCTCGACGTCCATAATCACCCTGATGAATTTCCAAATACGTGTGAGTGTGTCAATTTTTTTCCAATCGTATGATTTGAACAGATGAAGCAATTTGAAATGTTATTTGTCAATCAATACGTTTTGACGTAACGTAGAACTGATTAGTTTACTCAATTGACCTGCTCACCAGTTTTTTAGTTATGCGCACAAAACGAACGAAAATTTATCAAAATGCGTTATATTCCATCACATTCAATAGTTGCTATGAAAATAGTAATGAGACCTCGATAGAGTTTGTACAATCGATGTATCCCTATATAATTGATCTCTGAGGAAATTTCGAGTGAGGTCTTCTTAGTGGTTTAGTTTTTGAGTGCAAAAATTTGGTACCCTGGAATTACTAGAAAACCAAAAGAATTTCAGAGAGCAGTTTGGAAAATTATGCAGTAAGTTAACTGTGAAGTTCAAAGTTATAAAATGATTAAGTAGGCACACTTCAGCTTCAATAAAATCAATTACAGAAAACGTGTGATAAGCTTTGTGGAATGCGTCAATTCCGGAGGCCCGGTTGGATTATCTCGTTATCTCCTAAAGATAGTTTTTTTTTGTGTTGTTTACCTCGTGCATCATATAAATGCATGCAAGCTGAAGAAAAATTAAAAAAAAACATAAAAAATATAGAGTCCGCGCTTTTTCATTAAAATCCGAGAATAATTGGACAAAAGCGCAAGTTGGAAATGCCTGTTTTGACGTAGCAAAAGTGGGGGGGACGAAAATATCTTCCTGGGCGATCGGTGGAGCATTATTTCACAACGTTGTTCCCTGACAAATTATTAAATATTTTTTAGATTTTTCTACTCATAATGTCCTTACCTCATAATTGGCAGATGTCTCCGAATTAAGTATAGAAAAATTGAGGTGGCGATGAGCTGTCAATTTAGTGGGTGTGATGAGGGGGCTACAAGAACTAGGATGAACGTTGCAGTTTAATTTTGATGTTCAAATGTTTTGAAAAAAATAATTTCCGTATGCGTTCATCCTACTTCTTGTACCCCTCCTCATCTCGTCCACTAAATTGACAGCTGATCGCCACCTCAATTTTTCGCTATCTAATTCGGTAACATCTGCCAATCATGAGGTAACGAAATTATGGCTGAAAAAATCTAAAAAATAATTAAACATTTTTCCGAGAAGAAAATGCTATACATATGCCCCATGTGCTGCGTACGGAACAATTTACATTCAGCATACTTCTCCTCCGCCCCTCCTTCGCACTATGGCTGAAGTGACAGCTGATCGCCACCTCCATTTTTTTAACCTAATTCGAAGACATCTGCCAATAATCAGGTAAGAAAATTATAACTAAAGAAATTTTTAAAATATTTAATAATTCTTCAGCGAACAACTTTGTGAAATAATGCCCCACGAACCGAATAGGAAGATATTTTCTTTTGTCGTCCCCGTCTCCCCTCTGCTCCATCAAATTAGATATTTCCAACGTGTGCTTTTGTACAATTATCCTCCCATTTTAATACAAAAGCACGGACTCTATATTTTTTTTTTTACTTTTTTTTCAGTCTACATGCATTTATGTGATACAGCTTTGCTCCATACAGGACTGCACCAAAGTTTCAGATAAAAGAGACTATCTATATGATAATCAGATACTCCAACCGGGTCTTAACATAAAGTCAATTTCAGAATGAATTGGGAATTTCTTCAATTTCGGTGGAAAAAAAAGGATCTGTATTAATAATTATCTTTAAAAAGTTCCGAATAAGTCTCCAAAATGTCCCGGATTTTTTGAGGATTGATGCGATTCTCAATTTATCCCGTCATTTTTTGGGGAAAAAATCAAATGAATAAATCAATAAAGTCCAGGATAAATCCGTTTTGCCCTTTTACTCTAGGGATAAAGATCGGAAAAATTGGGAATTTCCACAATCTCCGACGAAGAAAGAGAGTTGCATTAAACCCCAATGAAGCCGAATTCTTATGGGGAGTTATTCGGAACTTTTTCACGATTATTGATTGAGACCCCTTTCTCCCTCTGAAATTGTGGAGATCCTCAATTTCTACTATCTTTATCCCGTGAGAAAGGAAGAAACGCCGTCTTACCACTGATTTCAACTACGGAAAAAACCAAGTTTGACATTTTTCTCAGCGTTCTCCTTTTGCATAAATATTCACCAATTAATCACATATATTTTGAACACAGAGAGAATATTCTTAATAATTCGTGAAGAGCGACAAGTAAATTTAAAAAATAAGTAAAAACAAATTAATGAGAGAGTGACTATACACTGAGAAAAAAAATTCTAAAAAATAGAAATTTTACGATTGATTCAAGTCGTTTATCGACATGAATAGTCGCAAAAGAAATGTGTATTGCAAAACACAAATATCGATTTGATTTTAATATTTTCGATTGATAAAAGATTAGATCAATATCATAAGTTCTCTTTTTGGTACTACCTATTTTTCGATATATACAAATCTATATCTATAATATTCTCATATATCAATTATCACATCGAGTTGCATCTTTTTTGGACGAAATGAACCCTCTCCATTCACAAGAAAAACTCAATTTTATACAATGATAATTATTTTTAAGTCAAGTGCATTATAATCGGAATTGATTATTCGTTATTATCCTACTAAATACAAACGAAATAGCAATGGATAATTTTTTCGCTAAAACCAAAACAAGTTAAACTATATTTAAAACCATGACGAATTGAAGCAAATCAAAATAACACTACACAAAAATATTTCATATTTCACCATAATCGATTTCGAATCATTTCAAATATTTGATCGTAGTTTAAACAGTTTCTTTCTTGATTTTAATTTCTCCATAGTTTTAGTCCATACTTCAAAATTTTTTAATGTTAAAAACTTTGAAAAAAATGTAATCCTTTCAAATCGTTTCAAACCTTATTCGGCTCAACATAATGATTTATGTGATTAGGCTCAGACATTATATACTTTGAGATAAAATTATAGTCATTCAATCGGAGTTACATTTGCTATAGACGAAAAAATAGATATTAGAGTGAAATGTTGGTTTTATTCATTTTATTCACGAATTTTTGTTGAATCTGTCTTACATCTATTCAGGACGACAGAATATATAGTATAGTGTGAAATGTTGTTGTCATTCATTTTATTCGTGAAATTTGTCAATACATATAATTTTTCTTTTCATCACTTGACTTTTTGGTGATTAATAATTAACTCACAATGACACTAAGATAAATTAAACTTAATTGGAACGTTAGACTTATAATTAATGGAATTGAGGATATAAATTGAAAAATAGAAAGAGCTTACTGATACTGATTATCCCTGAAAAAAGTAGCAGAATATTCCAGACGAAAAAATTGGCATTCAGTTAGTTGACTGTGCATGACATCAAGCTTTTAAAAAAGGAGAAACAAATGCGACCCATGAAAACTTATATCGTCGAGCAATTTGCGATAAATGAAGATTATGCTTAATCTTCGGATCAAACTAAAAATACAATGAGGGAGTCACATGCACGGAATAACAATTTTTGCGCACGATAAAGAAAAAACATGATGCGCAATGTTACTAGCCAAATGCGCTCTCGTTAACATATGCCAATTATTAGTATGATTGATTTCATATACTTGAAGATGTTCGTTTATTTTAACAGTTTGTAACTCACGAAGGACAAAATATATGTTTTCATCAATCTCGAAAAGATACTTAATTATCGCGAAAGTTGGCAGAGTATTCTCCGATTTTAAAACTATTGCAATGTCTTCTTTATATGTTGTACCACCATATTTAATCCACGATAGGGCCTGAATGTTCTCTTGGATTCCTTCGGGAAGAGCATGTATGAAAAATTCGAGACCTTCAAGTGATGTTAGATAATGTTCGTACTTTTTCCCAAACGTGATCTCATTCTCAAATGATTTGTTCCTATTAAATTGATAAGCTAACTGAAGTTGATGTTTTTGAGCTAGCGTACGAGGCTCATTAACACTAGTCGTCAGCATATTTGCTGTATTCTTGAATTCTTTATGTTTTCCCTCGTAACGTATTGTTGTGATGTAACATAGGGGGCCCAATTTTCTCATGGCATGTATATGATGGAGTAAAAAATGATGTTTAGACTTCAATTTGCCAAATAATTCCAAATATAATTTGTGATGCTTAGTAATCAATTTTTTTAAAAACTTCCACAATTCTTCCGTGAAATTAGGACCCATAATAATGCAATACATCTAACTGAACATTTTATACAGTTCCCTTATCGCCTTTGGGCACATAGTCACCTATAAGTATACCCAGATGCTGAATGAGAAAAGGAATTTCGGATGCCGCAACAGAAATAAATCTATTTTTTACTTGCTTTTTTGATATAGGTGGAGGAAGATTGATTCCATTAGACAAATCCACATTCAAATTCGACAGTTGATTATTTAAATCATTGATAGATAAATATTTTTTAATAAAAATCAAATGATTCAGTATGTGACCCATCTCATAGCGAGCTATACCCTCATTAATGTCGTGTGTGGGATCAACCGTTGATATATCACA